TAATTAAATTACAATTACATACAGTTATGATGATGAAATACAAAAGGATTATCTATCAAATCTACATATGTATGCTGTCCGCAAATCTAACCACTTCTCAGCTGATATGTGTTTAAAATCTCTACAAAATTGATATATAATAATAATATATCTATTTATAATTTTAATAATATTTGTAGAGTTGGCTAAGTAAAGAATATTACAACCATATTAATTAAATATTTTTGAACATCAGTAGCAAGTACAAGTATGTGAACACATATACCATGCCATTTTAAGCTCCATTGATGATATTTAATATCTGAAATAACTTGCAAAGAATTCAATTCATTTAGCCATTTTCCATAAAGTTTTCACACAGCCGAAATGTCACAGTCCATTTGAAAATTGCATAAATGCGCTAATGAAACACATGGACGCAAACAGCACGCCCGTGTTCCAGAGTAAAGTCCCCCCAGATAGATTCCAAAAATCATACAGCAAACCCATCCTGCGGCAAGTCCAATATGTGCTCCTATGACAACTCTGGCCCTGGCTATTTGCTGCCGCTGCCTTTTACAATTTGATTTCGTTTCGGTCTCATTTATGCTGCAGCCACAATTTTGCAGTTACAGTTGTGTGCGCACATGTACACATGCGTACACATACAAACAAATGTATCTGAAGAGTTGGAGCGTGGCTCGTTGATGCTGTGCGCCTGTGACTTTTCTGTGTGGTGTTTTGTGTGTGTGTGTGATGTAAGTGCTTAGGTATGGTGTATATGTATATATATATTTGCCATTTATGAAACCATTTAACAAACACATCATAAAAATTCAATTCAATTCTGTGTTTACGTCTACTCGGAACGATATTGCTTTTTAATTGCGGACACAAGCGGAAATTGCTTTCAGAAATACACATACACACGCCATTATTACTTACACACAATTGCACAGGGGGAGTGCTTCCATTGACACTAAAGTGAGAGTATGAAGTGGAAACGTTTCGGAAGTGCGTTGATTGCCAGTTGCTAAAAGTCTACTAAGAAACTGCACTGACCTTTTTTTTAGCTGACCTCAAAAACTTTGACCTTTAAGTAAGCTTTTCATACTTTATTTTCTTTTTTAATTACGCCACTTGCGCCTTGCAGTTTATAATTGGAAACAGCTCCAGACCCAAACTACTCACACACACACTCATGCATACGAACTCTGGCACTCGCATACTCATGTATGGGGAGAAACATGCAGGCGCGCTCTCATTTAATATGAAAGTCACAGAATGTGAGCTAATTGAAAACACTTGCAATATTTATGAGCAGCGCAGCATGTTGCGAAAGCACTTGACTGCTCAGCAGCAACATGTTGCCGAACTAATAAAACAACAAAATGATTTTATTATAATGGATTTATAACGCAAGCCAAGAGCAAACAGTCGGTATATATAAGCAGTGCGTAAGAGTGGAAAGGCAGTAAAAGACGGAGCGAGAGAGAAAGATTGCGAGTAAAAGAGAGAGCTAGCAAGAGAGAGTGTGCGAGAGAGAGAAAGAACGAGAGAAAGAGAGGCAGAGCGCGCGCAAAATGCACTTTGAATTGAGACGCGAACGCGGCAGTGGCAGTCCATTAAGCGCAATGTTGTTGTCATCATTTAATGCTTTTGTTGCTTATTGCGACTTGACAGCCGTTCATCTGTCCGCCTGTCGGGACTCTCGTTATATGTGTGAGGTTGTGTGTGTGTGTGTGTGTTTATGTGAACGAGAGCACATTTAGCTTTGCGTGTGCGCATTTGTATCTCATTGTTGGCTCGCAGCATAAATGGGGCCCCCACAGCGACGTTGGCAGCAACAGCAACAGTAACACAAACAACAACAAGAACAACAGCTATGTCGGCGTCAGCGTCGGCTTGGCTTAAGTGGAGATATTTATAATAAGTTTATTTGCTTGTACTGTTCGTAGCGCCTTGCGTTGAACCCCGCATGTTGCGAAGCCATCCTTGACACGCAACATGTTGCCATCGCCACGTTGCCCATCCATGGCTGCCAATGTTGCCTGGCTCGTTTGGCGCTGTTGGGCATTCACATTCACAATCACATTCGCAGTTGTAAATTGACGTTTTGCGTTAACGACCATCGCAGTCGTTCCGGCTGTATTTTGAGCTCGTCCTCGTCATCGTCGTCGTATTTATTGCATAAAGTAAGCCAATAATAATCCAAATAAAATTCGTGCGCTGCTTTGACTCCAACTACCGACAATCGTCAAAGGCACAACACAATTTGTTTTGCATGCAGTTAAATATGCTTCTTCTTGCCACTTGCGGCACTCAGTGAGTCTTGTGTATGTGAGTGTGTGTGTGTTTGTGTGCCCCAAGTGCATCTAAATTGCTTCATCTTGTGCATCTTCAGCTACAACATCAACATCATAACTAGGGGTATACATACATATATATACATATTTTTATTTTCTGTACTTTTTAGTTGCTATTTCCAGTGAGCTCCAGCTTGTTTTCATTTATTATTTATTTGCATGCCCTTTGCCATGGCTCATTCTATTAAAATGAGAGTTGTTTTTTGTTGTCGTATTGTTATTTTAATGGAGATTGCTAATGATGTTTCCGCCAAGACTCGTTGTTGTTTCTTTGTACATTTCTCTTTTCTCTGTGTTGTTGATCATTTACCCAGGGTTCATAGAGTTCATCTAGTCAGCAAAACCCTTTTATATCATTAAGCGACTATATTTTCCGATTTTCCTATACCTATATTTGTATATCTTTTGGGTATTATACAAAACCAACAATATTATAAATAATAATCAATATGTCATATTGTATTATGATATATTGTAATATTATTATTATTATTATTATTATTACTTTTTTTATTGTTATGATTGGCAGTATTTTTATTGCGGACTCAAATGCCTGACTCTATTGAATCTCTCTCTGGTAAACGAAAAGAGCAGATTTTTCTCCAGTCCTATCAAGACTATATGAATTTTCCCTGACTTTTAAACTCTCATGAAGGTACCGCCCAGCTGACAGAGTATCAGCCTACTTATAGCTGCTCTTCAGATTCATTGCTTTTTAAGACAGGCAGTTGCTTGTGAATTGCCCAATGACCCGTGATAATTCGAAGTGAGTTGTTGCTCCTGCTGAGGCAATGGCCATTCCTTTTTGCCGTAGCCACCGGCGAGTGTTTTGCTAACTAACTTTCACTCTAAACACTTAGGCATACACCCCGGGAGATTAATGTAGATATTGATCCAAATACTAATTATTTGTGTATTATTAATTGATCATGTAAAAAAGAGTATTTGAAATGCGTCAAAGTCAAATTTCTCCTCGTTTATTGCTTGTTTAATTTATGATGACTAATCGGTCTTATCGATAGCATAACGCCTATTAATAAACGCAGCACACAGAACACTTGCGCCCTTATAGCTAATTGAGCCCGCGCATATGTACATGTATTTGTACGCTTATAGTACATAAATATTGTGTATACTTATAACAAACTGCTTAGCTGACTAATTTGCCCAAGCGCTGTGAATTACGACATTAAAATACAATGAAAGCATTTGTTGGCCCACGACCCGGCGCAGAGTTCTCAGGAAATGAAATTATACACCAATTATTGCACAAATAGCAGCAGCAAAACCAATGATATCAGCAACAACAACAAAGCAATTATACAAAATATATACATATCATTTGCAAAATATGGGAAATCTATGAAAGGGTCTCCAAGCATGAGAGCAGTATGGAATCGAATTGGCATCGATATAATTAATCAAATTATAAATCTGAGTGAACAATTAAGAAAACGAAAGACAAAAGCAGCCGAGTAGAAGGCAGCAGGCACCAGGCACCGGGCACAAACAATAAAAAGCAATCGAAAGCTGTTGGCTCAGCATTAATTAGCGCTAAACGTCGTCGTCGTCGTCGCCGTCAACGTCGACGTCAACGTCAACGCCGACGCGACAGCAACAAAATGAATTGCTGCGAGCGAACGCCCCAAAGCAGCACCCGTTGCGACAGCAGCATCAACAGCAACATCACCAATCCAATCCGAACGCAGCATCCGCCGCCAACTTATTAAAGTACATATAACTCAATTATAGAGAATTAAAAACAAACTCACAGCAAGCCAGCGAGCGATGCCAACGATGCCAGCGACGTCGGCAATTTGCAATGCAAAAAGATACTGGCGGGAGCGCTGAAGCTGCCTCAATGCACAGCCGGCAACAAAAGCAACAGCAACAACAATCAAAGCAATAAAATACATTCAGCATTTAATAATCGGCCAACAAGCGGCGCAGACGTCGCTGCCAGCGCAACAGACTGCGCTGCCAGTGAGGAACGGCAATAAGATACAAATGCCCAGGCGCTCACAGCAATGGCAACAGCAACATGTTGCTGACGGCAACAGCAGCAACATCCACAGCGGCCAGCAATAAATTTATGAGTTCACACACTGACAACAACAGCAATAGCAACGGCAATAACAACAACAATAGCTACAGATACAATTAAGCCGTAATGCATATGAAAATTTGTGTATTTGTGTGTTTTATAGCCGTGCGTTATGTTCACGTGCGTCGCGACTGTTTGTATCTCCCGCTATGTATCTGGCAGAGCGTGTTCGTATTTGTCTGCATGTGTTTGTGTATGTGTGCGTTTGAGAGCGCAGCATAATTGTAATTATAGTAATATGCTTTATGATGGTTGCCTCGTTTAGCAACCCCCACACAAAATCCCCACACATACAGCCAAACAGACAGACCGACAGACAGACAGAAGAGCGCGTCGCGCCAACAGCAGCGGCAGCAGCGACGCCGGCGCTGCGCTTGGCCAAAATGTATCTAGATACATAATTGCCACATTCAGTCGTCGTTAAATAGTTGCACGGCGCAGTTCACAGCCACAGCAGCAGCAGCAGCAACAGTTTCCAGTCGTCATCGGTCGTTGGCTGTTGGTTGTTGTCGTTGCCATCGTTGTTGTCGTCGTCGTCGTTGTCGTCGTCGTCGCAGTCGCCTTCGCCGTTGTCGTCGGCGTCGTTTTCGTGCTTTATAGCATTCACTCAGAAGTCGTTTAGAATCGCTTGTCGTGGTCGGTATTCGATATCGGATTGTGCTGTCGGTGCCCATTTGAAGCACACAAATAGCTAGCGTCATCGTCGGCGTGGATAACTTGGACGGGACGCGTACGCGCAAAACGTTTAACGCTATAGTACAAGTGGTTCGGTCGGATACGGTTAGCCGGGACGCACCACAAGCAGAAGGAGCGGAGCATATTTTGACGTTGACGTATCTAAAGTCAAATTCAATTTACGCGCCGGCCTATTATAAACGTAATTATAATGAGGCACAGGCTATTAAAATAGAACGAACAAACGTAGCGACCCCCTCAGAGGCTCACAGTGTACTATTTTAATTAAGTGTGTTGCAACAACAACAACAACAGCAGCAAGAGCAAAGAGAGCCATGGCAGTCACGCATGTGTAAAAGTATCTGAGAACGTGTGCGCTAGTGTGTGTGCATGTGTATGTGTTTGTGCCGTTTCATCCATCCATTAGTCACACATGAAACTAATTAGCATTTCGGCTGTTTGTTATTGTCGCATTTGCTGGCCAAAAGAATTAGCGCGCCGAACAACGTCAAGCAGCATTCATTTAGCAATATATTTACTTATGCATATGGCCTATACAGGCCTACATACATACCATATAGGATTATATGTGTGCATACATATATATATTTATACAATATATATATATATATACATATTATATATATATATATATCGGACTGTCTGGCTTTTATGTGATTTTTACTTGGCGTTTTCATTAATTTGTTGATATTGTGATGCGTTCGCTGGCCGCCGGCAATCAGCAATGAAATTTATAAGACGGCGACAACAATTTCTGTGCTCAATTATCATCATCATCAACAATAACAACGACAACGTGCGGCAACAACAATAAGCACTTGTGCTCACGGCGCTAATTGCTGCCGTGTGGCGTCTGTGTATCTGACAGATACACAGTCGCACTTGAAGCTGCTCTATTGTTGTGCGCTTGAACTGTGTTGCCCACTTACTACATTTGGTGTGTTTTCTTTTTTGAGTATTTTCGCACGCTCCGACGACAACGACAACGGCAACTGCAAAGTCGACCAATTTGTCAATTGGCGCGCTGACAGGTTACGCAGCCGCACTGTTGTCCCATCTCGGGTCCGGCAATTGCTTTTCGAAGCTGGCCATAAATAAGTTATGAGCGTGTGCAAAAATGGAATTTTTAATTTGCACAAAAATATTTCAATTACCCAATTAAATTCAGTTTTGGCCTAGGTGTTATATATAAACCATTTATATACATGCATGTGTGTGTGCTTGCGTGTGTATTGTGTGTGTGTTGTGTGTATGCGTGTCGCAAATTGAAGTACGCTTTATTGCCGGTGCCCTGGCCGTGTGTTCATTTCATATTAATTACCCGTCGCTTCTGCTGTTGTTATTATTGCTGTGTGCGCATGTTAATAACAACTTAAAAATAAATAACTATTTCTTTTTTTCTTTTTGCCTACAAATATGTAAATATGTAAAAATGCAGAAATTGCTTTTTATTCCAAAAGTTCAAGTTTTAATTGTCGGAACGTGCACAACGTTAACAAAAGTAAACAATTAAATAAACACAATTAATTTCAAATTGGCAAGCAAAACATTGAAAGCCAGTTAAACAGCCCAGCAATTTCTGTGTGACCTGCATATCCCCTACCGTCCCCCCCCCCCCTCCACCCACTTACCCCTTCTAGATCGCCGTTAAGTACTCCAAAATGCGGCTATTAAAAACAATAAAGCAAATCGTTTTTATTTCTTCCAATCAATTTTTGTTTGTTCTTATTGTTTAAGCGCGAAACGAATTGCGAATGTGTTCATAACTCGAGTAATTCATTTAGATAAGAGCAAACAGCAATATTTTAATTATAATAGATAATGTCAGAAACTATTAAATTCTTTAGTTGAGCTTTAAGACTTGAGATTCAAGAGGCAAACGGCAAGCAAAAAGATAATTCTCGTATACTGCGAGCTATTTCATTCGTTTCTATACTTTTTGATTCATTAAGTTATTTCAAGGTTTCAATTGTCATTAAAATTGATTTATTTAATTCGACATAAACGAATTTACTTAAAATTTCTAGCGTCTGCTCCGATCTTTACGAATCTTTCACTCAATAAGCAATTAGGTGCGTTTGCTTAGGCAAATGTCAGATAAAAATATAATAAATAACGCACAATACATAATATAAATGTTAAGTGAATGCCAAATTAAATTTGTAGCCGAATTTTAATGCAGCTGACAGTTTAATTAAAAATTAAAAACCAGACTGAGACAAATAGGAAAGACTACGTTGTTGCAAATTGTTCAGTTGCCCATTGTGCGCCAATAATGAAATGCATTTAATTGAATCACAAACATTACCCGTTGTCAGACAATGGGCTGGCAATTATGAAACCAGAACACATTCAAATATAATTAAAAATTAAATAAATGGTTAACGTGCTGGCAATAACAAATCGTGTAACTAATGCAGCAAAGCAAATGAAATGCATTCAAATTAATTTTCCAAAAGTAAAAAGTACAAAACTCTCACTGAAAAAGGCAAAACCATAATCAATAATTGTCAACTGGCTGGCTAATGAATTAATTACATTTCTGTGTCCTTCTCTCTCGCGCTCTCTCTCTCTCCCTCTCTCTCTTCATTCAATTGTTGCGTTTCGCATTTCATTTCGACAGTTTTTAATTATAATGATCAGACATTTATATTTTTTTATCTCGTTTTTTTGCGGCGGCATAGCATTTTAATTAAGTAAAGTGGATTAATTTGCGACTCGTTAGACTAATTAAGGATTATCGCCAACAGCAACAGCGACGCAAAAGGTTTTAGTGAAAACTCGCCTATCAAAAGGATATGTGAAACAGCGACGACAACAAAACGTGACCTTTCAAAACAAAGCTATTAATAGCTACAAAAAAAAAAAAAAACAAAAACAAAAGACAAAAAAAATAAAATAATCAAGCTGCCCACAAGGAAAAACATTTAATTGGATTTCAGTTTCACCTTGGCTTTTCGGATACAATTAACCGTTTGGCGCTGAGGTAAGTGACATTGTCAAGTTAGTCAATCAATTTTGTGTTTACAAATTAAATACCTATAGTTGGGGGGTTTTTTCGAAACCTATCAATCTGTGACCAGTTTTAAATACGTGTTAACTGACGGGTCAAACACGCTTAGGCGTATCAACGGCCTGATAACGAATCAACATAAACAATATGACACGGCACATGTCCTTATCAGTACCCAGAATTCGAAACACTTTTATAATCAGTTCTAGTACATAACATACTAATGGCATCTTTACCTGGAAACGTGCACGGGATCAGATCTCTAACACACTGTATAAAAATGCCAAATTTGCAATCAAGTAACCTAATTTGAAATCAATTTCAATTAATCACAGTCAATTAATATAAGCAACTACTTAGTAAACGTTGTCTTATCATGCTATAAATGTAATATAAAAATAGAATTCAATTCAAATTCTTAATTTACCTGGGCAGCAAGTTCGCTGGTTTGGTTCACAAGTCGAAGCAACTATCTAACTGAAATTAGCACATATCAGATATGGTAAGATTAATGTATATTTTGGGACTGGGTCTGCCTTAAACTTTTTTTTTTAACAAGGATCGGTCTATCATAGAAGATACATTAGTATTTCAGGTTCGAAACGGATAGATTTAAATCAGTTTGCAGCCTTGACAACACTAAGAGTGAGGTTGTACAGTGATAGTATCAAATTTATTATTTAATAGATACTTAAGTCGAATTGCAGAGACATTTAAGATTTGGCTGTGTTTCTACTGTTCTACTCTAAAATATTGCAGAATTCTATACCACGAAGTTGACATGTTACCTAATTAAATACAAGCAACTGCTTCTTGTTGATCTTAGCTAATTAACTGCAGTTAACCTGACCACCATACCAATTCACACAACTTACGTCAGCCACATCACACATGTACACACGCAAACACACACACACACACACACACACACAGGTATTTTAAACGTGAATCGCTAATTGCGAATTAGCAATCAGAAACGCAGGAAAACTACTGTAACTATTACAAAAGTAAACAAAACAACAATGTAAACAACAACTGCATAAGAAAGAGATGTCCTTGAGCAGAGAGACTTCTACTATAATTCATTTAATTGGTCTTGACCAAAAATTGTTCAATGAAAGTCAAAGAAAATTTGTTATTTTAACCAAGCGACGGCATATACAGAATGATAGATACATTTGTAGATACGGCGCCCATACAATAAAATTACCCATGACAACTCACAGCTCATATCATGTGAGATAACCGACATTAACTAGTCTCATTCCCCCGTCCCTCAATCTCTCTCTCTCTCTCTCTCTCTCTCTCTCTCTGCCATTTGCTCTTTCAATTTCTTTATCTCAAGCTGTTTTTGTATCTACATCAAGACATGCCAGGCTATTTAGCAAAACGGTTCTGATTCTTGCGAAGCGCTTTGGTGTTATTCCAACCTTATCGCTGCGGCTTTAAATAGAAAATACCATACGTATTATGCATAATTAAAAGGCATTTCCAATTTCATTCACAGCTACCGGCAATAGATACTCGCACATTCTCAAGCTTATATTCACGTTGATAAACAAGCGCTCGTCTGACGCGCTGATGTTTATCGCATAACTGGTTCTCATTACACTCTTAAATTAATTAAATTGTTACTGAAACTGCTTTGTGATATACGACTGGCTGCTGATTGACTGATTGAGTGATTGACGGACCGACTGACCGCCAAACTGGTCAGTCTGCCATGCCGTATACATACCATATTTTAGCCCCAACTTCGCGCTAATAGTGCAAATAAACAAATAATAAATAACAAATATATAACAAAGGCGCAAATCACAAATCAAAAGCATATGTTTAATAAACGCGCTGCGAGTTTAAACGATAACCGCATGCGATGCTTCAAATTGCTGGCTATGAATGGCGCAGGAGAGCGGAAGGGGGGCTAAGCTTGTGGAGCGGTGCCGGGGGGCGGAAGGTGTGGCCATAGAACAGGCAGTAAATTAGCACAAAGCGCCGTTGACAGAAAATGTAAGGCAAATACTAGCAAAAAGTAAACGAACAGGGAAAAGGAAAAACAACCCAAATACATTGCAGCAATTATGCGAATGGCAGCAACTACAAAAACTGAAGAGCTGCAGAGCAGAGCGAGAATTGCCGAGAACTGTGCACAGAGCTCCTCCAGGTCGGGTGCCAACTGGGAGCCGGGAGTGGGGGCACGGTAACGTACGCATATGTTAATAATTAACTAGATTGAAAAGCTCACAATAAGAAAGAGAGAGCTGAAAGAGCTTAAAGCTTAGCCAGATTAGAACATGTGGTAGACAAGTTAAGTAGGAGCTTGCTAACAGATTTTTTTCTAATTGCTAATTAGATATTGGGTATTGAAAATAAGTTACTTTGACAATTGAGTTAGGTTACGTTGGAATGGCTAGCGTTCTAAGCTGCAGTTAAGGGGTAGGATATGTCTCTTGCGAAGTTCCTAAAATAGACAACGGAAAATAATTCGCTAAAGACCCATTTAGTCAGCCCAACTAGAAGGTGTAAAATCCAATTTGAATATATTTCGAATATATCTACCATTATTTGTGAACAATTCCTGACGCAATTTACTAACTACATAAGCACATTAGAACAATAAGCTTCGCTGGAAGATCTTGGTGCTGGTCGGGAGCGAGTTAGCACCTTGTCTAAATCGGGTGAAGGATCAAAAAGGATTACATTCGATGTCTAAATAAAATCTGGAACTATGCCACCTTTCGATTCAGTCTCAATAAGTTCGATTTTGGCAATCAGCGTGTTCTTATCGACGTATGATTACTGTAAGTTGCATTATATTTATTTGATACAAAGTAATTTTACGCAGACGTGTGTTCAATTTTTTTGGCAGTAATTAAATTTAAATTTTCAAAGAAGCCTACATGAATTGAAAAGCAATTAAGCAAAGGCGCAGAAGCTTGAGGGCACCAGATTTTTATGATTTTAGTCTATGATGAGTCACGCAATGAAACGAGCTATTTATGATATGACAATAATTAGCTATACTCGCACGCGTCTACATAATAGTTAAGAGGCTAAGTACTTAATTGAGTATGGGGCAAGCACTTGATGGTTTCAGCTCATTCCACATGAACAACAATAAGTTGTGGGCTTGGAGGGGGGTCAGCAGCTCGGAACCGGCATATGCATATGAGGGCAGCCCATTAGCTGTTTTTCTAATCAAAACGGAATTCCGAGAAATCGCAGCACACATACAAAGGGACAGCGCAGCCAGTACTCAATCAACACATACAAACATACTTATATTACTTTGACTGAGACGGAGAGCCACAGTCAGTCAGTTGATTGGTGCCGTCAGTCACTCAGTCATTAAGTCAGTCACTTAAGCGGGCAATCGACGCAGTTGTTGCCCGTTGAAAAATGAAACTAATTAGCGGCCACAGTGCCAAACGTCGCTGCCAGCGTCGCTGCTTACAGCACGCCCATTTCCATTCCAATCAATTGGAAAATTTGCATTTAGCCAGGCATTGGCAACTGCAACAGCAAATGCAACATCAACTGCAAACGACAAACGACAAACGGCAGCTGTAACAAGTCCATTTCAGAGTCGGTAAAAGCAAATTAGAGCGCAGCATGACAAAAAGCAATCCAACAAGCACGAATACAAGTATCTGTAGCTGTTGCAGCTGAATGTGCTGTGCGTATAATTATTAATTGCGAGTGTGTGTGCTTGTGTGTGTGTGTGTGTGTGTGTGTGTACGTGGGTACTATAATAACACAGCCAATTTTGGCTTTATCATAAGAGCAAACAAGTTTCCATTGCGGCCAATATGCAGTCATGCGGCTTCCGTACTGCGCTGCTAAAATGTTATTTTAATTGAATCATTTTTGCTATAAAATCACACACACACACACACACACACGCACTCATAATCGCCATTGCTTTCAAAAAGAGATAAAAATATGCATAAGCACATAAATACGATTGATATATACATTCATATACATATATGCATACTGTCTGCCAGTCAGACATCAAATTAAATAAACGCGGTCCATTACTCTCCCAGTGATTTTGCCAAATGACTTCATTTCATATCAATTAAGTTTATTGGGCCGGTGTGTATCTGTATCTGTGTGTATTTGTATTTTGTGTTTGCGAATGCAAGACTGAGTGTTTGTATGAGTTTTTTTATTAAAGCGGCATGGTCACAAAAAAAGCCCGTCAAGCACACACACACACTCACACAAAGAAACTATTGCCCTGCCTTTGCCCATGGAACGAACCTGAACCTGATTCATGCGCTTAATTGCTTTGGAGCGTGCGACTCTGTCGCAGTCTCTGCCACTGCCACTAGCGCGGCCGGCGTTGACGTCGCTGCCGCAGCAGAGCAACAAAAAGGTATGAAATCGAATTGTGTGCACAAAAGTTATAAATGTTGCCGGTCTCCTACGTGCAGCGGCGGCTTTCAATAAAAACGACAACAACAACTTTTGACGCAGCCCCGACAAAAAACGAAGCACAAAATACAACCACATAAAATATGCTGTGGATGTGGAACGCGTCAATATAGAGCTGCCTCTCGCTTCAAATGGGGCACACAAATGAAATGGCAAAAGCGAAATTAAAAAATTCCGTAATGGCATCAAAAATATTTTGAGTTTTGCTGGGATAATATATTCACAGATACAAATGAGAGCTATAAACACTATTTACGATTAGCTGGGTAACAGGATCTTTGATGTAAATGCCACTTAAGCTACTGTGATAAAGTATTTTTCGTGCATATATTAACCAATTTTCAAATGTATTGTTTTCAAATGAAGCTACTTAAAAGTTTATGGCTTACAAAAATAGATATAAATCTTTTTTCAGCCACCCACTTGCTTAATATAGCATAAAACAAGAGTTTAACTAGTTCATCTTGTTAACTTAACTGAACAACATTAGGTTATTGTTAAGCTACGATTATAAGACTTATGGAATAAATTAA